TGTATATCACTGTAAAATGGAGTAGCCACTAGCCACATATGGTTATTTAAATTAAAATTAAATAAAATTTAAAATTCAGTTCCTTGGTTGCATTAGCCACATTTCAAGTGCTCAGTGGCCGCATACTCATAGCTAGTGCTACAACATTTGACAGGGCAGGGGTAGACCATTTCTGTCACACTGAAAGTTCTATTGGATAGTGCTGGTCTGTATAATCAAAATCAGTGATGCCAGGAGAAGATTGATAGGTGTGTCTTTGTGCACCAGGTAGAGGCATAAGAGGTGTTTCTAACTTCTCTCTCCACTCCCCTCTGCCTTCAGGGACCTCTTCAATGCTGCATTTGTGTCCTGCTGGTCTGAATTGAATGAAGACCAGCAGGATGAGCTCATCAGAAGCATTGAGTTGGCCCTCACCTCACAAGACATCGCTGAAGTCACACAAACCCTCCTAAACTTGGCCGAATTCATGGAACACAGTGACAAGGTGAGACTTTTCTCCATTGTCCAGATGGAGGCTGACAGGAAACCAGCTGGCGGGAGGGGAGAAGCATCCATGCAGCCCACTTTTGTTGGTGTCCCATCTGCCATTTTCCTATGTGTGGGGTTCTGCCTCTCCTCTAGGGCCCACTACCACTGAGAGATGACAATGGCATTGTCCTGCTGGGTGAGAGAGCGGCCAAGTGCCGAGCATATGCCAAAGCACTTCACTACAAAGAACTGGAGTTCCAGAAAGGCCCCACTCCGGCCATTCTAGAGTCTCTCATCAGGTAAGCCATAAACCCTTTTTAATTGCTGCCTTCATCCAAAATGACCCCTCTTCTCACACTGCCTGGTGCTAGTTCACTGGAGTCACATGGAGGCTTCTGCTCTGTGAAATCCCCCTTCAGGTCTGGCCAACGCGTTCGAGTGAGATGTGGTTGCAGATGGCTCTCCCCTGGATTCTAGCCTTAATTGTCATTTTTGTTGACCCTTATTACCTGGGCTTCTGTTGTTTTCCAACCTATGCTTGCTGGTCCCAATGCAACGAGCAACCCTGTGGCCACAGCTACCTAGGAAAGATAGGCTTTATATGTGGTTAGATAGCAGTCTCCGAGATAGGACGAGGATGTACTGTCCCTGCGTCTCAGAGGCCACCTGAAGGCAGGCTTGGGGTTTTATTGACTAAATGTATTAGTGCCTGGGTTCTGTGAATAGACAAGGGAGAGCAAGATCTGAAATTTGATGGTCTTTTCCCATTTGTTTATGTTCTCTCCTCTCATAAGATGCCTTTGAGCCTTTTGGATATGGAAAAAACAGGTTGTTTAATCAATTTTTTGCTGTTATGAAATCACAAGCTGCCTGAAATGTTATCTCCAACTCCTGGAGAACTGTTGACTTCCCCTAATGATTATCAGAGAATATTAACTCTGGGATCGAATTATCTCCATGAAAATGGTAACACATTGGATCATTTCACTACAGATAATTTAGGAAAAATTGCCTAGCTATTAAGTTCCTCCACTGTGGCTGGAAGAACCTGCTGTGTGTACGGTGCTTCTTTCATCTAAGAGGATAATCAAATGGTCACGTTCTGTGCTGGCTCCACTTTTGGGTAGGTGCTAAAAAGTGTTCCTTTAAACACTTTATAAAAAGGGACCAAAAAGATAGAAGTAGAATCATGTTTCTGCCCGGATAAGTTGGGCTTTGAGAGAATGCTGATTTCTAAAATACCATCTAGGAGCTGTTATAAAGACGCATCCCGTGAGGCATGCTTTCATTTCAGATTAGGAACAGCAAATGTGAAAACCCACATCTCTTCCTCCATCTCTGGCTTGGGTAATGGAGTCTCACATGATAACTAATGGAAACCTGATATCTGAATATAATAACTTCAACATCAAATAACGAGTTTTGCACATTAATTTCCTTGTTAACCTTCTTCTGTTTGATGCCTATTTGAAACCCATCTCATCCCACCCCTAGTTTTTTCCCTATATTTGAGGTAATCATAGAAGGATTAATGTTTATGCAGATAAGTAGTAGAAAGAATCAGAGGCCTGGAAAAATGTTAAGAGGTCATTTAGCTTCTTAAGCCAAATGTAATTGAAAATAAGCCCACAGATTTTTGTCAGAATTTCCTGCAGATTAATCTTGGCTTAAAAAAAAAAGCTATTCCAAAGTAAATCCAATGCTCTAAACCCTTCAGGCTTATTCCTAGTCTAATTCAACTCAGCTTGCAGTTTCTGCCTCCCTTAAGTTGGTCTTCTGTATCTTCCAAACACCTTTGTTTTTTGTTTCCATTTGCAGCTTTTACTTCTGATTTTGTAAAATTACTTTTCCTAAGCATCATTGCAGTGTTATGTCGTCAGTTTTACTAAAGAAAGTTTTAAGAAACAGCCCTAGGCAGTGCTGCTGTTAAGCTCACAGCACTACCCCCCGGCCTCTGGATGAGCCTTGTGGAATCTCCTCTCAGAAGTCAGGACCGGTGACGGTTGCACATCCCTGAGCCTCTACTCTTCAGTAATAGATTGAATTCCTTTCCTCACAGTGGCTACTGGAGAGCTCACAGCTAAATTCCTGGCCCACCTCCAGCAAATTACAGAATTTTTACCTGTTTTGAAAACAAACCTCCACCCTTAACATTAATTTATTTTTCCTACTCTTATTTTCCTTTAGCAATTTGTCTGCTTTTTTTAAAGATTATTATACTGTACATATTTGAATAAATTAATTGCCTTAAATTCTTTTTGAAACAGCTCCGGGTAACCATACACAAAAACATCTTCCTACAACAATTCCTTATTTTTTGTTTTTGTTTTCAGAAGCAGTGCTCTACTGACAGTATTGTTCTCTCGCTGCAGGATCAATCTGTCTTCCTACCTAGTGACTTTTTTACCTTCTACTCCAGGACAAATTAAATCCCACATGTAATCCCCAAAACGGCCAACACTGAGGCTATTCCCATCTCCTCAAAGCTCATATAGATAAGTAAGTGTAATTGCTTCTTAGGGGAACAAAAAATTAAATGTGTATTCAATTATATGGAAACACACATGCCCATACACACATGTATAAACACACACACACTACTGTGGGGTTTTCACTTGGTTAGCTCATTGCGTTAGGGTATGGTCTGGTGGCCCGCTTTTCTTTCTCCATCATTTCCCAGCCCCTGCATGTAATCCCTTTCTTAATTTTTTTCTAATTAAGACACCTGCAAAATTAAAACTAAAAACAGGCCAGTGCTCACTAGGTAGACATGCATCTCTGACAACTGCCTGTCAGGCCTGATTTGTTCATTGCTTTCTACGCAGCTCTGTTCTTTTCTGTACTGTGTTTTATCACGTATCTTCAAGGATCTGGTCAGGGCAAAATGTTGTTTGCCTTTGGGAGCAATACCAGGCCCTCCTTTGGGTTCCTAACATGGTTCTGTCCTCATTAAGGTCAGAGATGGTGCTGGGCTCTCATCTCTGAATCCTTCGTACCCATCATCCCCTTGCACGATAGGTGATCTAAAAACATTACTGTCAGAAACAGCATCACTGTAGGTTAAGTGGTTGTGGAGTATTCTGTGCATTCGGTAACAACTGCTCTCCCTGTTCCCTCTGCCCCTTCCTCTGAGAAGTTTCTCCCAACAGAGTGAAGTAAACCACAGAGGCCGACTTAAGAGCCTCAGCTTTTTTCGACTTGTGGGGTATGTAGGAGATGAGAAAGAATAGAGAGGAACACACCTTCTGCTATAGTTATACAGAGCATCCTGTGCAAGGTTGAGTAACTGGATGTATTCTTACTTTCTTCTTCCTCTTCCTCTCCTTTCAGCCCTTGATCTTTTTACCATCTCTCTCCTAGCGGTGTTGTTGCTGGCTACTGAGCATCTCTGATTCCCCTAACTTACTTAGGAAGTTCCTGTTTGAACACCTGCCCCATGGGAAGTCCTACTTCAGTGTAGTTCTTCACTCTCGTTTTGTTTATTCCTTTGAAAATCCCCAGGTTCTTATTTTTAAGGCTTAAGCAAGTCCCCAAGAATCATTGTATTGTAAGTGCGATAGCAAATATTGAGTAAGAATAATGGCTTACCTTACACTGACTCGCTCAAGGGAATGGGTCTTTATGGAAAAGGAAGAATGACTTCCTAAAGATCAGAATTGTTTGATACAATTACGGTTAAAGGTACTTTTCTTCTCTGTATGTTTTAGCTTGATCAAGTAGAAAGTAGGTGTCTTCGTTTGCGAAGTACTTTGAAACCTTATTATAAAAGTGGTGACAGTGGCCAGGTAGGGGTTAGGGAGCTGGGCCAGGATCTGGTCTCTTATCAGCATCTGCTGCCCTTTCTGCCCCTCACCTTTCTTTTTTGGGTTCTTGGTCCTCCCTTGTTTCCCTGAATACTGAGACAAATTCTCTCACTGTTCACCCTCTGATTTTTTACTTATTTAAACTTTTAGCAATACTCTAAGTGATAATGGTGTAAGAATTAAGAAAGAAAACAAATAAGTTTTAAGAGTTTATTGTTGAAGGGAAATAAATGTTGAATGTTTAAAACACAAACTACAATATTTTATTTTTAGAAAGCAAGATGCTTACGTACAGCATGAATTATTAACCATAACTCCATCTACCCTCATTTTCAGCCATTTTTTATAAACAAGATAAAAAAGGAAGTTCTTTGAGCCCTTTTCTTAAAAATTAAACAAACAGGGATAAATCTGTATTGACTGTGAATATTTTAAGGCAGTTTTGCGCAAGTGTCCATGAGGGACTTACGCCCATGCCCTTTGGTGCTCCCCTGAAACTGCTAGACCCACTGGCTCCTTTCAGTGCTGCACCATGATTAAGGCCAGTAGTGGGGCTGAGAGTCTGATTGTGAGGCCCAGTTCCCACCTGGGTCTGCTCACCTCCAGCAGAACAATTTTTGTATTTTAATAGAAATGTGTAGACTGAAGGTAATTTTACTGGATTTAAAAATGGAAACTTCCCTCATCCACCACACTCTTTCTGTCCTTTCTCTCAAGGCCTCTCCCTTGAGAATCGAAATTAAATAGTTCTTTTTAGCAAAGGGATTTGTTTTCTGCCTTTCTGCAATGTTTTTGTTGCGGCTTTAGAGAAAATGGATGAATTGACCTCACAATTATGTTTTTCACAGAAAAATCGTGGAAAAGACATACTACTGCTATGTTAAGGATCACAGGCAGAGTCCCTCATTCCAGCCCCTGAGAAGTCTGTCTCAGGACCTACTGTGTTTAAAAGCCTTGTCCCATTTGCTGCAGCATCCTTGGTACATACAATTTTATTGTGTTCCTCAGAGATTTACTCTCTCGTTGGAGATTTTAGGTCATTTTCCATCCCTACCCTTTCTATACACTCTTCCTCTCCTCCTCTGCCCTTGTCCAACCTCCATTTGTCTGCATCTCTGCAGCCCTGCTCCCCAGCAGGCTTCCTTTTAGGGCTTGAAGTCTTCTGGGCGGATTTTCATCTCTACCCGTCTGAGGGAGTAAGTAGACCCATGCCAGCCGTACCAGGTGATGCCATCCAGGTGCTTGTTGTGCTCTCCGAGGCGGTAGTAAACTCCATTGAGGTTGGAGTCTGTGCAGCAGTTGTACCAGTATCCACCTGGCACAAGAAACAGAAGTAAGCTAAGAATGTCCTCCCCTTGGAAAGTGATGATAGATAGCCTAGACCTCGGGGATTTGTTGTTATTCCTTGAACTGTAGGTAAGCAGAGCTTGTAGCAAAGGTATCAAAGCCAGAATACCAACTGTACAGTTGTGAATTCACTCATTCTCTTCAAGTGGGGGAACTTACCTTCCCCCATCCCCCAGATCTCACCTTTGCGGAGCTGTGCGCACTTGTCCAAGCAGTTGTCATTGTCTTTGTCCTTGGTGCTGAAGGCTGTATTGTTATGATAGAAGAGGGCGTCGTTCCCCACGTTGCCACTGTAGTTCCCCAGAAATAGGCGGTAGCTATTCAGTTCATTGCCCAAAACAAAGTGGCTGTACTCAGCATAGCGCATGTTGCCCTCCCAGTCCTGTCACGGGGGAGACAGCCTTAGAGAAACTGCAGCAGGGCTTCAGTTCAGACCGTCCCAGCCCCACAGCCACATCTTTGTATTGCTGAGAATCTAGTAAGCCATTATTACCAGTTCACCTCTGCTCCATATTAGCCTGGGACTCAGAACAGTCCTCTCCTAATAGTCTCCCTTTCTGTATTCCTACACTTCCCTGTCTGTTAGGTGTAGATGCACATTTTTTGCTCCATCCCACTCAGGTGTCATAAGAGGAATGTGAGAATATAAAGTGCCTGGGCCAGGCCTCCTCCTTGTACTGCCTGCAGCACTGCTTTTGTGCAAGACAGGAAAAAAACTATTTTTCCTCAACTGTACTGCAACCTGCAGGAAAACCATCATAATAAATACACAAATCTATAGTGAATAAGAATAGGAGTGGTACCCCACAGTTGTACAGAGTCATGTGTGGCTGCCCTGTTCCAGTCCCAGGGATCCAAGCTCATGCTCACCTCCATTTCCACGCGTAGCCGGGTTGGCCGTCGGGAGATCCGGTGGATGTGCTTGTTCCCCAGCCAGAAGTCCCCACGGATGCTGCCAAAGCCCTGCTTGTACTGCTTCCAGTCCCGGTAGAAGGAGACAAGACCACTCTTCCGTCTCTGAATGATGGTCCAGCCACCGCCTGAAGTCTCCATGTCACAGAACACCTGGAGCGGAGGATGCTGGGTCAGGCACTAGCAGAGGCAGGTGGCAGAAGTGTGCGGGCATGCCTCCCAACCTTTCCCCATCCACAGAGCCAGTGGCTGTGCATACGCCCGTAGTCATGCAGGCACACTGCACCAGTGATTCTCCCCCAGTGTTGGCGAGCCAGGGCAGGGCAGTGGTTTGCTGAGGAAGATTCTCAGAATTGAGGGTGGGGTGGAATTGGGGGGCACAGATGTACATGTAGTTTGCAGGGAAGAAAATTAGGTACTTCTGATATGCCCCCTTCATTTTTTCTCTTTTCTCTTCCCCGAAGAATAACTACTCTAGGATAGGGCAGAAGATTTGAATTAGTAATGTGGAGGTTATAAGAATTATCTAATATATGTTCAGGGTTTGATGTTTAGTTGATTATGGTTTAAAGGGGCAAAACAGATACCTGGATTTTTGTGTTTGGCTAGCTCTCTGGTATTTGGTATGTTTACTTCTCTGTTTTGAGTTCACCTTTCTTTAGACTATAAATAATCCCTGTTGTCTCCATCCCTTTGAGGGGGTGGAGGGTAGATGGTGGAACATCTGTGTGCTGAGGCAGTGAATGAACCTCACCTCCAGCTCAGGGATGTCCAGGAAGTCATCGGGAGGAAGCTTATACACTCCAGAGATGCGGTAGTTCTTCTGGTGGAGGGAAGAGCAGTCATAGATAGCATCTACAAAGGGAGCAAACCACAGGGGTGAGCATCCAGACTCGGGGGCTCCATGGCACATGCGCCATTCCTGCTGCATCTAAATTGAATGTTTGAAAACTGAGACTTAATTCCTACCATCAGTGTTAATTAGTAGGCAGTGTCTGGATTTGGGAGGTGGCCTGCGGAGATCAAGAGGAGGTATTTTTGGGCTTCAAGAGAGGCAGGGCAGAGGAGTGGGGAAGCCCTTCACCTGGATAGCATCAACAGGACAATCAAACAAGGAGTTCCAGGTTAACTCTGAAATGAGTTATTCTGCTGTAGTCTTAAACTATGAATTCTAGAAATGTTACAAGGTGTGAGGGTCGTGGGTCCTGACATTTATTGTAACAAATGCTCCTGTTTAATAGATTCAGACTTCTCGGACAGCCAGCCTCTGTTAGCAGATAAGTCATGAGCATGTCATATGGTCTGGTTTTGTTACTGTTGGTTGGTTGGTTGGTTTTTGTTGCTGTTTTTCAGAGGGTAATGGCTACTGTCAACCAATTAAGGGAGATGGATTTTTACAATCTTATCTTTCCCCCCTTAGTCTAACAATACTAGAGTCTCAAATGAAAATGAAAACACCCTGAGGAACCCTTTTTAGGCCCTCCCCTGTCAGAGTTATTAAAACAAGGAAATGAGAGTGTCGGACAGGCGGATTTTCACTCTGGGGTTGATGTAAGTGCTTCTTCAGCTACCCTTGGGGCTACTGCTTTATGAGAGATTTTGTATTCCTGTTCTGAATTTCGAAGAGCATTGTGGAAGAGAGTAGCCTTCTATGATGAGATTCAGAGAGCGGGAAATCTTACTGTCCAGGAGATGTCCCATCCCATTGTCTTGGCATTCTTTTCTTGGGACCAGTACACTGGGGCCTTAGAAAAGAGCACAAAGATGGCAGAAAGTAACACTTCCACCGTAGGAAATGTCCAAGGCTGTTTGGTTCTCCTGCAGAGCACATTGCGGGAGGGGGCAGGGGTACCCTTCCTTTGCCATCAGAGTTCTTCATTTCCTTTTACTGATGAAAACATCTCAACTTACTGCTTTCTCCAAGGGGCTACCTACTTACAGATTATAAAGGTGGCCCAGCAGCTGGTAGTAGAAAAGAAAAATAAGGAAACTTCCCCTGGGCAAGAATAGTAGAGACCTGTCAGGAGAGCTGCATTTGGTCTCCCAAGAAACTGCCTGCTGGGTGGTGAGAAAATTACATTTGGAGGGGCAGAAGCAGCGTGGTCAGATTCCTCTGTCTGGCCTGATCTTTTCTGCCTGTCTGGTTTCATCTCACAGACCAACTCAGGACTCACTTGTCTGGAAAACGGCCTGAGCATACCTTGCTATCCCAAACTGAGTGTCCAGAAGTAAATGCTTAAAAAGTGACTTATACATGTTGGTTTATATAACGGAGTTTTCAAACTTATTTTATATTCAAACTTTTTCTTCATTTGGACAGAGGATAATCAGTGGCTTACTCATTAAAGCCATCTCTCTTCCAAGAAGCTAATCATTTCTTTGTTCTTGACTTGATTTATAATGTGACCATCAGTTTTTGTGTCAGCAAGAAATGACATATCTATAGAATATGTTCCTTATAACTAATCATTTCCTGATAATGTCAGAAAATAAAATTCATCTATGAACCATAAATTCACTTCTAAGCCTGGCTGAGCCAAGCCAACCAGAAACTGAAAGTTATTATGCAGTAGAAAACATAATAGTATTTTATTTTTGACCTTTGAGAATCCAAATTTCAGCATAGCATTTTATTATTTCCTGTATTATTTTGGGAGAATCTTACTTGAGACCATGAGAAAAATAAAAATTCTAGAATTGAAGAACCTTGAAAAAGCCTATCCCTTCCTGAACACAGAGGCACTCATTCTTCAAATAGCTATGGACAGCGTCTGTATGCTTAAGTCTGTGCCAACAAGAAGAGTTCAGGTTGCAAAGAGAGGACCCAAAATTCCATTACTGCCCATCCCACTAAATCTTAGGTGCCCAGAGAACTGCCTTTGGCAAAACTTTTCTTCCAGAGCAACAGGTTTTGGCATTTGTTACTGCTTCCTTGGGATGGAGGATGTAGCCTGTCAGCTTTTGTTAAGGAAGCAATGTAGTGAGACCAACCCAGGAAGATGGTGAACTCTGTTTCTAAGGCTTGCTGTGTGGCTTTGAACAAACTACATACTCTGTCTGCTTCAAGATGATAATTCATACCTTTCTAATTTGTAGAAACATTGTGTAAATAAAAGAGACTTGTGAAGGTCCTGAGTAGATTTACAGAACATTAGAAATCAGAAGAAATAACTCCTTAAGCTTTTGCTAAAGGGAAAATAGAGTCAATGGCACATACCCAAGAAAGTATACCCCAAAAGAACCCCTAGTAATTGTTCTGATGCCCAGGTTTTCTAAAAGCAGTGCTCTAGACGGGGAGACGCTAGGCTGTTTGAGGGGGAAAGTGGTGAGCAGCATTGAGAACCCATCCTCCTTACCTGCTGAGGTCTGTGTGACTGTCTGCGCTGCCTGCAACTGCATAATGTCGATCTGGTTGTTCATCTCAGAGTACTTGCCCTCAGCCTCTGTGAGCCGCACCTCCATGCGCTTGCTTTTGCTCTCCAGCTCCATCACCTGCATGACCACATTGACCCAGTCCCTCTCTTGCTTCTGGCTCAGTTCGCTCAGCAGGCTGCTCAGGTTGGCGGTTTGCGCCTTGAGCTCCTTCACCTCCTCACAGCAGGCGGCCACTTTGAGCTGTGCAGGTGTCTTATGCTTAGGGGTCTTCTGTGGCCACACTGGGTGGCTGACAAAGGCCACAATGAAAATGCAGAGCCAGGTCACAGCAGACAGAGCCTTTTTCAGCATCATTTTTAGACCTGGGTGGGGTAGAATCTTCCTTTGAGGAAATCTAGATATGCCCAGTTGAGGTTTGCAAAGCTGCAGCAGATTATAACCTTACACTCTTAACAGTCTTGTCACTTTGTTGGTTTCTTTCTTTCCTTGCTCTTTCTTAGCCTTCTCAAAGCTTGAGTTTCTGAAAGTGGATCTCGAGTGGGTATCCTATAGCCTCTTTCCCAAGCCTGAATGCTTTACCAACTCCGCATCTTAAATATTGTTTGCTGCCTGCACCTCCACCCCACCATAGCCATGTACTGCACGTTAGCCCCTCCCATCACATCTGGGAGGGCGAGGTGCCTGCTGGGTGAAGTCAGTGTAAACTTAGGCCAGAGGAGGGAAGGAGGGATACAGGGGTGAGTCTTTCTTTCCTTGCCTGTACAGTATCTGGGCTGAGACAAGAGGACTGCGAAGTTCTGTGTTTCCAGGCTCACTTATTAGATTATGGCCCTGCCAGCCACTGACTCAGCTCTATCAGCAAGCAGGGCAGGGTCAGAAGAATTTCCAAATTCCATTCTAAAGATTATGTAACCATGGGGTGAGGGTAGGATAGGGAAAAAGAGTTGGGAATAAGATTCTTTATTCACCAGGGAAGCCTGTTAATATAATCCATGCTGTTTATATGCAGCTCTGCTATATTTTGGCATCCTACTGAATGTGGTTTTAACGAAGCTGGTCATTCCTTTCTCTGATCATCATTCAGTATTTAACAAAATACTCATTCTACCTGGATCTAACACTATCTCACATCCAAAAATGTCCAACATAGAAAAATTCTAGAAATAGAGGGATAAAGTAAATTTCTTAGGAAGGAAAGAGAAAAGACTTTATAATTTGTATCCACAAGGTTTGCTTTGTTGTCTTTATTTTTTTTGAAATACTTTTTCCTTCAGCAAAACTGTGGGCCAGTATTAGCGTCTCACACATTACATTTTTCAAGGAGGTGTCAGGTCATTACAGCAGAGGTGAAAACTCAGGAGTGCCAGGCATGGTCTGAGATTGGTCCCCACACTTCCGTTAACCTTTAGGCAGAACAGAGAACAGGCCCATCTTTGGGAAGACAGAGGATATTCTTTTTTTTCTTTTTTTCTGATTATAAAAATAATATAGGTCCGTGGTTCAAACTTGGAAACTATATTAAAATATAGAGAAGAGAATCTCCATCACCAAATAAATCCATATCTAGAGTCTCATTTTCCTCTTCCTGTGCAATATGTTTTGCAATTTGAAATTATTCTATCTATCTGTGATTCTGTATCTGAAAATAGGGCTGTTTAATGTTTTATGTACCATATTTGAAAGACACTTCTTCTTTGACAACAAATGTAAAAAACCTGGAATTCCAGAAAATATCATTAAAATTAGCTTTTCACCAAGAATGTATACAAAGGCCCCTTTGTCCTTAACACAGTAACTCTGTCTTTGGAGCATACTGTTGGCTGTTTCCGTGTGATGGAGCCACGGAAGCAGTTACTTGTAGTGTTGATGTTTGCAGCTTCAGTCCTTGACCCGCAGGCTGATGACTGACAACTCTCATTCCTGACGATAATCCCCCAGAGCCCTTTTCCAGTCAGGGCTTCTAGTATCTCAGAAAGTAACTGCTGTTCAGCCAGTTAGAGTTAGCAAACATTTTTTTTTCCTCTAAACCAAAGAGCAGTAGGGGATCAATGTGGACCAGGGTTTATTTTCTAACAGCCTTGGTCTCCTTTGCCTGCTGTGGTGTGAGGTTGTTGCTGGCACCCTACAGCAACTTGTCATTCCGCTTAGAAGATTCTAAACTTTCTGCTAGCCCTTGCTCTCTCTTTGAAAATATCTAACCCAGCTGGGCACTATAGCCTTAGCTCCATAGACTTCATTTCACTAACAAGAACCTGGCCCTAAGCTGTCAGCATCTTACAGGGTCTGCTAAACTCCATGAGGGTCTTCAGAGTGATCTCCTGGCCATCAGTGAGACTGAGCTTAAACCATGTGTCATAGAGGCACCATGGGCCATACAGTCATATACAATATTACATGCAGCCCTACTGCCTTAGAAGTCATGTTTGGCACAGCAGTGGAGAAAGCATTAAGGAAAATGGAGCTTTATGGCTTTCCAGCCAGCTTTTTGTTTGTGCTTCCTGGTAGCTGCATCCCCCTGCACAAACAGGAAAATACTATGAATAGATTTTCATATCTGGGAAGAAAATGAATCAATCATTCATATTTGCAATCCATGTAGCAATCGTTTCTAGGAAAGGTAAGAAAGGGTTTGTAAGTTTGGAGTGGAAGCATTTAGCTTTCAGCATGAGTGCCTAGTCTCTGACATTTATTTTCTGGAAACTTATTTCTAACATAAGGCATAAGTCGAAGACAGAAACTTTTCTTAAATTGTTTGAAGATTTTTTTATGTTGCCTAAGCTGCCCAAATGTCAATAAACTCCCCATAAATTTTGAGAAAAATAGCTAATTAAGGGTATTTCCAGTGCCAGAAGATTATCTGTCTGTTCTCCAAAACACCAGTGGCCCCATGATGCCCTAGATTCTGAATTTCTAAAAAAAGAAAAAGTAAGCCCTTGTTTTAAGCATAGCTAAGCCAGTAGAGAAAACCATGAAGAATGTGGAGGACTAGAGTGGTTTTCCTTCTTTGAGAGGCACTTAATCCCTTCTTCTGCCTTTTAGTAAACAGACTGACCATGAAAATATGAATTAAGTAAGAAAATATGGAAAACCTGGGTTGGCTAGCTGGCAATTTTTCCTTTTCTCCATTTTAACGGTGGTGAAGAAGGGTCAGCTTGGTGCACCTGGGAAGATGTTTGCAAAAGTAAAGCTCCTATTCTTAATGAAAGAGCCAGTTAGCTTTGGTTAGCCTGGAAGTTCTCCAAGATTTCTGAGTGTTTGTGTTCTACTGCCTTTGGGTTGGCACCAAGAGCTGAAAGCATGTCAAGCAGGCTGAGGATTATAGAGCTCTAGGGCCTGGAGCTGGTTTTGTTTTTCACTCAAATAAGAGTATCATGTCTCATTCTGTTGAAAATGTCCCCGCTGGAGAGATTACCCCTTTTTTCTGCCCCTGCCTACCTTAAACCATCATTTTCAAAATTGGTGAGCAAGAGAAGCAGCCACTCTTAGCACCAGACTCTCAGAATTTGTTGAATGAATAAATCTCAGAAGAACCTGTCTTGTTGTTAGTTTAATGTATATTTTACATAAACATTTTAATTCTTCTGAATTCTTTTAATGAGTCACAGCTTGCCTTTATATATATACATATCCTTTTAATATCTGACCTTCTATCACTTGATCTTGTTTTTGTCTCAACTGAAAGCCCAAATCCATCACAGAAGGTATTTCCATCTCTTCCCTAAGACTTCTAATCTGCCACTTCTACCAAACAGTGTGCCCTGGACTTATTAGAAGTTATTTCTCTCTCGCCTCTTCTTAGAGTGTTATTTAATTATAGCACATAGCAAAAAAAGAAAAAAAGTCCATCTGATTTCTCTCAGAACTTTGTAGCAAACATCTGCCTGCACTATGCAAGTTGCAGAACACAGCAACAATGCCAGCCCATCCTCGAGTTCCTCACAGTCTTGTTGGAGAGACAGACAACTGAACTCTAGGACAATGTGCATGCTAGGAGGAGGGCACAGAGGAGGAGGAGTGCCTAACTCAGGTGAGGTCTGGAATGTCTCTTAAGGAAAGTGATACCCAGGTTTGAAAGAAAAAGGAGGAAGTAGTCAGGAGTGGGAGAGGGTGTTCTGAGCAAAGGTACGGCTCTGTGAAAGACCTTGGCTTAGTAGGAGAACATAAGTAGTCGAGTATGTGGCTTAAGAGTCAAAAAGGGAGAGGAGTGCTGGCAGGAGCTAGCAGGAGAGAGGAGCAAGGGTGGAGGGGCTATACAAGTCCAGGTGACTGATAAGAGACAGGGGGGCAGTGGAAGGAATCCAAGGAAGCTTTTACCTCGTGGCTGCTTTGTTTTTCTAAGTCTCACCAGTAAAGTGTCTTTTTTGTAGCTGCCAAACAAGATTTTTAACTGGAATAATGGGTGGTTTAGAACGTTAGAATTTCTTAAAATTGTAATGCATCCTTATTAAATTCCCTGACAGGGTCATTTGGCTTTAGAAGTAAGGAGACAGTGTATGAAGTCTAGACTTAAGTCCTTAGATCTAGAATCAGACAAATCTGGGTTTTAATCTTTCTCCAACACTTGATGGCTATATGACTGTGGACAAATTACTTCATTTCTCTTGAGTATCTGTTTACCAATCTGTGAAATGGACATCCTAACTACCTTACTTCATAGGATTTTTGTGAGGATTAAGTTAAAGAAAACAAAGGATTAAGAATAGTCAAGGCATTCTTGAATGAGAAAAGCAAATTTGGAGAAATTACACTACAAGATATCAAGGTTTACAATAAAGCTACAGTAAATAATTAAGAGAGTATAGTATTGGCACAAGGATAGCCAGCTAGACATGTGGAACAGAATAGAATGTCCAGAAACAGACCCATATGTATATGAATGCTTGATTTATGACAAGTAAAGCACCACAGAATAGTGAGGAAAGGACAGTCTTTTCAGTAAGTGCTACTGGGTCAACTAGATAGCCAAATGGGGGAAAAAAGCCTCTTGATCCCCACATCATACCATGCACAAAAAAATCAAGTCAAGAAGAATTCAAATTCAAATTCTAATGTGAAAGGTAAAAACAATAAAGTTTAATGTATAACATAGGAGATTATCTTCAGCATCTTGGGATAGGCAAAGATTTCTTAAACAAGACAAAAAATACTAATCACAAAGGAAGAGTTCAAGTGCAATAAAAAATAGTCATTTTTATTCATCAGAAGACACCATTAAGGGAGTGAAAAGGTAAAAAGCTGTTTCCTGTACTTACTCTTGTATATATTATATCCAGAGTATATGAAGAACTCTTATCAAACAATAAGGAAAGAGAAAGGTGGCCCAGTTAAAAGATAGGCAGAAGATCTGAACAGGCACTTGTTTCACAAAAGAGGATATCCAAAAGGCCAATAAACACATGAAAACACTATGAAAATTAAAATTAAAACCGTAAGATGTCACTACACATCAACAAAAAAACATGATAAAATGCCACTACACATCAGAATGGCTGAAATCAGAAAGACTGAAAACACCAAGTGTTGATGAAGATGCGTTGCAACTGAGAGTTGCGTACGCTGCTGGTGGAAATGTAAATTGGTAAAATCACTTCGGAGAAAATCACTTCTAAAGCTGAACATACCGTGTAACCCAGCAGTTCTTCTTCTAGATATACTCCCAACGGAAGTGTGAACACTCATGCACCAAAGATGTACAAGAAAGTTCATAGTAGCATGACTCATAGTAGCCTAAAACTGAACACAACCTAAGTGTTCATCAACAGTAAGATGGATAAATTGTGGTATTTTCATACAGTGAAATTCTGTTCAGCAGTAGAAAGAAAAAACAGCTGAATGCAAGAATACTACGCAAGGATAAAGAAAAATGACAAATCCATGAAACATAATGTGGATAAATTTGGAGGACATTATGCTGAGTGAAATAAGTCAGTCACAAAAGGACAAATATGAGACCACTGTTATAAAGTAACAACAAAAGGTTTACACACAGAAAAAATATTCTTTGATGATTACCAGGGATGGGAGGGGGAAGGAGGGAAAATTACCAAAATACATAGAAGACATGTGCTAATTATTGGTGAAGGGAAAAGCAATACACAATATGGGAGAAGTCAACACACCACGCACCATGACTGTCATGGATTGAATTGTGTCACCAAAAAATATCTGTCAACTTGGCTAGGTCATCATTCCCAGTATTGTATGATTGTCAACCATTTTATCATCTGACGTGATTTCCCTATGTGTTGTAAATGCTATCTCTGTGATGTAATAAGATAGATTAGTGGCAGTTATATTGATGAGATCTACAAGATTAGATAGCATCTTAAGCCAGTCTCTTTCGAGATATACAAGAGAGAAGCAAGCAGAGAGACCTGGGAACCTCATACCACCAAGAAAGCTGCACCAGGAGCAGAGTGCATCCTTTGGACCTGAGGTTCCTGCGCTGAGATGCTCCCAGACCAAAGGAAGACAGATGACAAGAACCTTCCTCCAGAGCTGACAGAGAAAGCCTTCTCCTGGAGCCGATGCCCTGAATTCAGACTTGTAGCTTACTAGACTGTGAAAGAATAAATTTGTCTTTGTGGAAGCTATCCACTTGTGGTATTTCTGTTGTGGCAGCATTAGATGACTAAGACAATGACCAAGGCAAGAGAGGACACTGAGAGGAACACAAGAATAAAGGGCAACTATAGAAACTACTATAGCACAGACAATCTTGAAACTATAGTATTAACAAACAATAATTTATGAATGAATACATAGGTAGATAGATATACCGAAAGGTGTGGGAGGGTGTAAGGGAGCACACCCACTGGCAGATACAGATTTGATGGTGGATATTTCTACATACATGACTGTAGGTGCTCCTTGTATATTAATATAGACAATAAAGCACACGAGGGGCACAGTCAGGGAAACCTATTAGACATAACCAAACACCTTGCAGGATGAAGTTCCTAGGCTCGAAGTCAAAGGACCATAGACTTAGGGGACATCTACATCAGTTGGCACAACATAGTTCATAAAGACAATGTTCTGCATCCTACTTTGGTGAGTAGTGTCTGGGGTCTTAAAAGCTTTCAAGTGACCATCTAAGATACGACTGTTGGTCTCTTCCCATCTGGAGCAAAGGAGAGTGAAGAAAGCCAAATACTCAAGGGAGCTATTAATCCAAAGGAATAATGGACCACCTGAACCACAGCCTACATGACCCTGAGACCAGAAGAACTAGATGGTGCCCGGCTACCACTACTGACCACTCTGACAGGGATCACAACAGAAGGTCCTAGACAGGGAGAAAAATGTAGAACAAAAAATCAAATACACAAAAAAGACTAGGCTTACTGGTCTGACAGAGACTGGAGGAACCCCCGAGACTGTGGCCCTAAGACATCCTTCTGACCTGGAACTGAAGCCTTTCCCAGAGACCACCTTCCAGCCAAACAGTAGACAAGCCCTTAAAATAATAACGCTTGAGAGGACTGTGTTCCTCAGAACAATCAATTATAAGAGATCAAAAGCTCAATATTTGCCCAAAAGCAAAGATGAGAAGGCAGGAAGGGGTAGAAAATCAGGATTAAAGGAAACAGGGAACCCAGGATAGAAATGAGGAGCATGCTGACACATTGTGGGGAATGAAACCAAGGCCATGAAACACTTCATGTACAAACTATCAAATGGGAATCTAATTTGCTCTGTAAACTTTCACCTAATGCAGAATTAAAAAAAAAAAAAACACTCAATAAATACTTCCTAATTGCATATCTTAAAAAAAGCAACAACAAGGCTGCATCTCACAAACAGAACTAACCAGGTATGTTAGGAGTCGGAACAGTGGTTACCTCTGGGAATAAGGAAGGGAGCCAAGACTGGGAGGAGGCTCTGGTGCTTCTGAGATGCTGGCAGTGTGTTGTTTCTTGGTCTGGTTGGTAGTTACAAGGGTATTTTCACTTCATGGTAATTCATCAAGCTGTACACTTACGTATATACTTCCCTGTTTATATGTTTACTTTAATTGTAAAGCTTATTTTTAAAATAGATAATACATATAAAACTTGGAATATCATCTGACAACAGAGTGTAGTCAGTATCCAGCAAATATTAAATAATATTATGTTGTTGTTAGGTGCTGTCAAGTCGGTTCCAACTCATAGCGGCCCTACTTGCAACAGAACGAAACACTGCCTGGTACTGCACCATGCTCACAATCATTGTTACGCTTGAGCCCATTGTTGGCAGCCATTATGTCCATCCGTCTTGTTGAGGGTCTTCCTGTTTTTCACTGGCCTTCTACTTTATCAAGCATGATGTCCTTTTCCAGGGACTGATCCCTCCTGACAACATGTCCAGAGTATGTGAGACGTAGTCTCACCGTCGTTGCTTCAAAGGAGCATTCTGATTGTATTTCTTCCAACACAGATTTGTTCTTTTGGCAGTCCATGGTATATTCAATATTCTTCGCCAACACTACGATTCAGAGATGTCAATTCTTCTTCAGTCTTCCTTATTCGTCGCATTTTGCATGCATATGAGGCAAGTGAAAACACTGTGGCTTGGGTCAGGTGCACCTTAGTCTTCAAGGTGACATCTTTGCTTTTCAACAGTTTAAAGAGGTCTTTTGCAGCATTTTTGCTCATTGCAATGCATCTTTTGATTTCTTGACTGCTGCTTCCATGGGTGTTGATTGTGGATCCAAGTAAAATGAAATCCTTGACGACTTCAGTCTTTTCTCCGTTTATCATAATGTTGCTTATTGGTCCAGTTGTGAGGATTTTTGTTTTATGTTGAGATATAATACATATTGAAGGCTGTGGTCTTTGATCTTCATCAGTAAGTACGTCAAGTCCTCTTTGCTTTCAGCAAGCAAGGTTGTGTAATCTGCATAACACAGGTTGTTAATGAGTCTATCCTCCAATCCTGATGCCATGTTCTTCTTCATATAGTCCAGCTTCTCAGATTATTTGTTCAGCATACAGATTGAATAGGTATGGTGAAAGGTTACAACCCTGAGGCACACCTTTCCTGACTTTAAACCATGCAGTATCGCCTTGTTCTGTTCAAATGACTGCCTCTTGATCTATGTACAGGTTCCTCACAAGCACAATTAAGTGTTCTGGAATTCTCATTCTTCACAATGTTACCCATAATTTATTATGATCCACACAGCCTTTGCGTAGTCAATAAAACACAAGTAAACATCTTTCTGGTAGATACGCAATTGTCAACTCATTGGAAAAGCTTTCCTTGACCAGTCTAATCTAAAATCAGTCCCCCGTGTGACTCTCTAAGCACTCTCTCTTTTCTTCATGGTATTTACTTCCACTTTGTTTACCTCGGAAACCCTGGTGGTGTAGTAGTTAAGAGCTATGGCTGCTAACCAAAAGGTTGGCAGTTTGAATCCACCAGATGCTCCTTGGAAACCCTGTGGGGCAGTTCTGCTCTGTGTTGTAGGGTCACTGTGAGTCAGAATCGACTTGAAGGCAACCGGTTTTGTTTTGATTTGGTTTGTACTTACCTTGGAGTCCTAGTGACATAGTGGTTAAAGCAATCAGCTGCTAACCGAAAGGTCGGTGGTTCAAACCCACCAGCCACTCTGCAGGATAAAGATGTGGCAGTCTGCTTCCTTAAAGATTTACAGCCTTGGAAACCCTGTGGGGCAGTTCTACTCTGTCCTATAGGATAGCTATGAGTCAGAAGCAACTCAGCAGCAGTGGGTTTGCTTTGGTACTTATCGCAAAGTCCCTGGGTGGTGCAAATGGTTAAATGTTCAGCCACTAACTGAAAGGTTGGCGGTTTGAATCTCCCCAGAGGTGCCTCTGAAGAAAGGTCTGGTGATCTGTCTCCAAAAAAATCAGCCATTGAAAACCCTATACATCACAGTTCTACTCTGATACACATGGAGTCACCATGAGTCAGAATCAACTCGACAGCAACTGGTACTTCTCTCGGTTTCTTTTTTGTATATCTACTTCACTAACATTTCAGCTCTGTGAAAGCAGACATCTTGTCCATCTTATTTACCATGGTAACTCTAGTAGCTAGCACTTAGCACAAGACCTAAGACAACACAGATACTTAGTTGGACTGTGGTGAATGAAGGAATGGATTCCAAACAGAAGGCTCTCTTCCTCCATAAGTAAACATCTCCTGTTCTGCGACTTCAGTCTGTCTCCTTGGTCATTTCCTGTATTTTATCACAGTTAAGTTTTTCATTATAGGGCATCTCATTCTCCCCAGCTTTAAATCCATTTTTCTTCTTTAGGTCTTAGTCATAGAATCAAAGACAGTGAGAACTGGAAGAGTTGAGATCATTTGGTTCAACCTTCTTGTTTTCATCAGTAACTTGAGGTAGCATCCTTGTTGTATAACCACTTTATATCCCTGGAAACCATTAATTTATGTTTCACCTCTCTTTATGTATGAAGAAGATCAGCGAGCAGACCATAGAGCATTTGGGGTAGGGTTTTGTCCCACTCCTGCTTATTCCACAGACCTGTGTAAATGGTGTATCTGATTACTTCCATCTATAGCGGCCTGTCAGTTAACCTTTATCACTGCCTGAGGGGTCACACGCAGATGAAGACAGAACAAAGAAAATAATATGTCCCTATAAAATAGCCTTATCTCTGGGCACCTGTATTCCCCATAATTTATCCAGGAGCCTAACAAATCTTGTGTGCCCCCAAAGAGGTGTGTCAGATGCCATTATATTGCAATTTCAGTACCATGCTTTCAGCCAGAGACAAGACCCTATCAGGAGTAGCAGGACCAGATCAGGAGCCCAGCCCCCAAGCCACCCTGTGAACTACAGTGCTGCCCTTGGGCTAGATCGCTACCACCCAGACCAAGGCAGCACTGACTGGAACCGGCCTGTCATCCTTGAAGAATGTTAGAGAATTGGAGCCAGTTGTGCCTGAGCAACCAATTAATAGC